CATTTTCTAGCTCAACTAGATTCTGATCGTCACTGTAAATATTTTTAGTTTCCACAACGAGTTTTGTAATCGCATATTAAGAAAATTATCAGACAAATCCAAGAAAATTAAATTAAGTACGATTCTCTTTGTAGCGTTGTGTGTAGAGAGGTTAAAGATCTTTCTCTGCAACAGAGCAGCTATTCCCGTGTTATTGAGTTTGAGGGATTTCAGATTTCTCGTGTGTTGTCTGCGTGGCATGAAAAGTTATAGTTGAATGAAAATGATATTACCGGTACAAGTATGGTCAGAAGAACATGAAATTATATGGACTCTAATGGATCCGAAAACAAAATTACGTGATATTTGATCACTGATTTAAAACTTTTTCAACTAAAATACATAAAAAGTACTCTCTCCATTCCATTTTATAAGTTGTTTGTTTAAATGCAGGAGAATTAAAAAAAAAATTATAAATAAGATATCATTTAATAATTAGCTAACAATATAATTTAACCGATCATGTAAAAACTTACAGAATTTAAAAAGTCAAAAATATTTTACAACATTCTGCATAGAAATTTGTAAAACATCTTATAAAATAAACAAAGAATAAATCCTTAAGCATCTTATATAATAGGAGAGGGAGTAATATCATTTATAAGTTTATGTATAGGTTTGATTTTGCAGTGAATTTTAATGGGTTTCAATATTGTAAACCAAAAATTTAATTGTAGTTGTTGGTTTTTTTCTTTTTTTGGGCAAAAAAGAAAAAGTAGGAAGGCGAATACTACTATCTCCAATAGATGCAAAACTAAGTGCAGAACAAATCACAAATTAAATGTCTCTCTATTACTTTGGCTCTCGAGAACTATTAATTATAACATTTAAACTATTATTTTGGCTCTCAAGAAGCAAAACCAAATCTTACTGCAGAAATCTAATCAAGATTTTGAAGTACTAATGAAAACAAAACATTTCTTAATATTTGTGTGTCCCAAAACCATTCATACAATAAGTAATCATGTGAGTTTTGTTTATCAATCAATTAATTTGGAATCAATTAATTCGGAATCTATATATAGTATAACATACATTTTATATCTTCTGAATAAAAATTCATGTACTGTCTCACTCTCACCACTTCATGCCCAAATCCAAACACACTATTGGGCCTGGATAAAATAGAGTTAGGCCCATTAAGAAAAAGTCCACTCACCAAACTTGTGGATTTTCATTCATTTCAACATATTTCTAAATTCATGTACCAATGTTCACACACCATCTGGTTTAATGTGTTTGGGTTTCTTAAGTTACGCGCATGGCTTTGTTATGTCTTTAAAACTAAGTTTGTCGAGTGCCTTTTATTGCTTGTTTTGTCTAATAAAGTTGATCACTTTAGTTGCCTAGCTACACCATAGAGGTTTAAAGTTTAGTGGTTTTCTCATTGATTATCCCAAAACCAAAACATAGATCACATATTTTTTGTCCTTTATAAATTAAAATGGGTTTCTGTGTAATCGGTATGAAAACTTAACTATTGATTTCAAAAATCTCGTGACAAGGGTGTTCAATCTAGCTTT